CTATAGGATGATTTAAAAAACAATACATAACATCAAACAGCCATCTTCCAACCTGTTCTGCCGCTAGAAATAAGTTACAGTTTCCTCTCTCCTTTCGTCCTGCTTCGCAGCAGGCGCTTTCATGTCGGAGCGCTCCACCTCCTCTGTCCGAGGCTGGTGTGGGGTGAAAATCCTCCACCTCAGACGTTCAGAGATGTAACTATCTGCGATACTGTGGTCACTCTCCATGTAGCATCAATTATGCTAATGCTAGCTGCCTGTCACGTTCTCTTGTCCTGGCCACACCTCCGCTCTCTAACCCCCACTCCCCCTACCCACTTTATGCATTTTTCAAATTTCGCCTTGGGGCTGAGTTATCTTTTCACGGGGGGGGGGGGAAGATACACTTTAAATTACTTTCACTGGAGTCTCTTTTGTTGCCAAAGAGTCTATGATTCTGTACTCCAGTGAGTGTCTGAAGTGTGAATAAAATGCCCATTTGTTGTGACCATCCAGGGTCAGGTTTAATTTTAGACCAATCACTGACTCTCCATGTGCCATCACCCCTGCTGCTAATGCATTTCTGCTTTTCTCTTCCACTGCCTGGCTGTTGCCCTTTCTAGTTTGCTCTCGCCTGCTCCAATCATTTTCTATTAAGACATTTCCATGTGATTTACATGTTTATTCGCTCCACTTGCACCAGTTTTGTTTATAGGGGTGTGTGTGTGCACATATCAATCGACGGAATCGAAAAGTTATTTATTTATTTTTTGTCTTTGCAATTCAAAACAGATCAACACCTCTGCATGTGTGCTGAGTTGGGTTACAAGTTGCAGTCTGCAGCTCTGGCATGACCTCTAGTTAAACCAGACTCACTGGATTATGTTTCACAACACGAAAGCATGAAATTGCAGTTATGACTCTTCTCCTTTAAATAGCAACACAAACCTAGTCATTCACAATCGGCTGCTCTCATTTGTGTTTTCCCCACCTTAAGCAATCATCCTTCCAAGGTTTTCATTTGGATGCTGAATAATTGATTTGGCACCTACCCAGTTTGTGCAGTCACTGTGTTTTTGATCAGCACAGGCGCCCCCATCCAAGCTTTTCATACAGCTACAAGTTGTTTGTCAAAACGAAATCTCATTATTTCACTCAGGAATACATTCACATATAACAACTTGCATTAGGAAGTGCAGTTACTCTAGCTTTGTCCATAAATAATGCATTTATGATGTAAATACGTCTGCATTATTGAATATTTGTACTCTTAACATGCCGTACATGTGCATGTGCTGCCATTAGTTAGGAAGTGATAAACTAAATGCAACTACAGCTTTAACACATCATTATCTATCCTGGTGTCTGTAAGGAGGATGATAAGCAAGCAAGCACAGCAAGACACAAATTTGTTTTACTAAAGGAGGAACAAAACAAAGTGCAGTGCCTTTTCCACAGAAAAAATAGTCCATCTTTTTACCCTAAAGAATTTATACAGACTTCAATTTGTCCTTGTATTGACGATTTCTATACTTTTTTTTTACTGTAAATTCTCTTGTTAATGTAGACAGTACCATTCAGTCAAATCAAATCCTTTTGAATATATTGGGATTGTTTTTTTTTTTTTAGTCAGTTAACTTTAAGCAGGTCAGGGCCTTTTTATGCAATCTTGTCAGAAATTCAAGAGAGAGAATTCAAGTGGCAGAAATAAAACTAAATAAAYATTCTGGAGAAAAACACTGAACAAGACACTGATATCCATTTAGGATACAGTCCCATTATACATTGTTAGCAATTAAAAAAAACTTTCCATATCCATTAATTAATAWACCACAAAACTTGGCTCATTTAATTTCTTTCCCTTTTTTGTGCCTGCTTGTTACCTTTTTCARTATTAAACTGATAGTAAATACAAACTGATCTGTAAGATTTATGGGGCTTGTAAATAATAAAAAAAACAAGATATCGTTAGAAAAGGAGAAGTGAACTTTTTAAATTCGATTTTAAATTCTAAGAAATAATTTAAATGTTTCTAAATCAAACTTCTCAAACTAATTCACTCCGAATCTAATATATTGGTGCCCAGTCCTGGTTCTTGAGGGCCACTTTCCTGCATGTGTTTTAGCCGTTTCCCTGCTTTTTAGCAGGTCTTCAAGTTCTGCAGAAGMCTGTTAATCTCTTCTTGATTCCGATCAGGTGTGYCAAAGCCAAGAATGTATAAATCATACAGGATAGTAGCCTTCAAGGACCAGGATTGGGCACCACTGGTCTAATAATTCCTGCATCYGTACACTGATTCACACTGATGCTGGCTCAGAACACAAGAACTGGAAAATGTTTCAAAATTGTTCAATATTTAYAGGCTGTTAAGTTGTCAATAACAGCTTAACAAGGGAACAGTTTGCAGCACCCTGAACTGTTTCAGTTGTTTTGAATTGTGAGGGTATAGATCCATTGGAAAGAGGACATGTTATAAAGAAACATGACCACCTGAAACAGAAATAGTTTGATAATTAAAATTTTGTTATTTGTTTGATTTACTGAAACAAGTGTTATAGTCAGATTCCATCCATCCATCCATCCATTTTCTGTGCACGCTTATTTCTTTCAGGGTCACGTGGGTCACTGGTGCCCATATCCAGCAGTCACAGTGCGAGGGGTGGGGTTAGGCC